TGCCAACAAATAATTGATAATAATGGATTTCTTAATAATTCATTGCATAGTGAAGTGAACAAATTTGATGAGATGGTATTTAATTAATAGGAAATGTATAAATAAATACCTAACGAAAATGGGTTTAATAAATACATCACTTTCTTAATGGTTCCTCTTTTCCTGCTTCATTTAAAAACAATTCGGAATATTTTAAATCATAACATTTATATGCTGTTTATAAATTCTTAAAGATTTTTACTCATATTGATTTTTCTTTTTTTCCCCTACCCATTTTTACACATTACAAATTCCTTACCGCCATTTTCCTTTGGGTTTTTTAACCTTTTTACTCGCTTCACCTCGCAAAGCTTTTCGCTCAATTTTTCCCTTTTGGCTTTATAACTCACTCAACTTAAGTTCCTTCGCCACGATTTCTTTCCGCCCTTTATGTCTTTACTCACTTTCACTTAACCAAGTTAAGTAGAACATGTTGATTTGCTGCTTTTAATTTGTGCCCACCTTAAATTCATCTTGGCCCACTTTAGTCCATGACTGAACATTTATTTCAGGCAACCTTTTCCCCTCTTTTTCTCTTATGCTAACTTCGTATAAAAGAAAAAACCCGAGACTTTGGCTAACAGATTTCTTGACACCTCGAAGTTTCATAGAGTTCCGCCCATAAATTATCGTTTGGCAGCTACACCAGGTCCGTGAGCGTCACGCCCCCTACTTAAACATCCTGAAGGATCCAAGGATGATACTTTTTTGGGTAGGAAAAGGGCAAGTCAGTAGGGTTGGATTGTAGGGGATGCATGACATTATATGCCGCTTACAGCCGCAAGTCGTTGGCTCTTATCAGCGCTTCCTGCGGGCCGATTTAGCAAAGACAGCCAGCTAAAATGGATCCCAGTTAGTTTGGACAATGCACTGGGAAAGAAGTAGCTTAATTCAGAAAATACTCTTGAAAACTATTTATCGTTTTATAGTGTACAACAACAGTCATGCTTTTATACAACTGTGAAGTACTATATAATTTGTAAAATATTCTTATATTTGAAGCATTCATCATTACAAAATTGTTTCGGAAAATAACAAATAATCTAAATTGGGAACTACATATTGACTTTGGACTACAACTGTATTTATCAACTCAAGACAGAACCATTTTTGGGATTTTTCTGTTTTATCGTAAGTGTGTTAAATTTTGGTTCTCATGTATTCAGCGTAAAATCCCAAAAAATAAATATATAGGCATAAAAAAAAACTCATTCATCGAAAATAGATAAAAGTATTTTTGGATTTTTTGGTTTAGCTCTTGTTTGGTGTTATCTCATAAGTAGTTTGAAATGGGTTTCTCATGTCTTCATCATATAAAAGCATCCATAGAAATTTCAATAGTATATAACTGACTTGTTAAATCGTACTATTTAAGATTATTTTGGTTTTAACTTGTAGATTTTCTTGCTGCTTTTCCTCAGTGAAATGATGAGGCCCAAAACAAGTTCAAATCCAAACTGCGGCTGAAAACTGCGCCTTGGAATAATTCTGAGACGCTGGCGACAGAAGCCAACACGTTCTTTGGCCCCTTATCATCGTTTATTGTTGCTACATATTTTATTTTTGGGAGTTTCGCAAGGCGCAACAACTTTCGCCCATCCTTGGCTCGTTATTATCCTATTAGGATGTGACGGCACCCAGCAAAGTTTTCATCCACTAGAATACACACACAGCACCATGCCAACTGCGTGGCTCTTTGGCTGTTTGGCTGCGTGGCCCACATGTCGTATACATAACGCTCTTTATATACTTTCGCCTTTGAGCCGGCTCAAAGACATTACAAGCTCGTTAAAGTGAAATCAATGTTGTTGTCTCCATGTTTTTGCTGTTGCCGTGGCTGTTCATTTTGATTCCGTCCGTCCGCTTTATTTAGCTATGTATTTTTATTTCATTATACGGATTTTGCCTGCCTTTCTGCTGTTATCTGCTGGCAGTTTATGCGACAACAACACTCCGGCTAACTGACCATGAAAACGAGGAGCGGAAAAGTGGAAAAGCAGCAGGGAAGCGACAAACTTAAGTAAAATATACCCGCACTCGCTGCAATGTCGGAGAAAAGCTAATGGCGTCGAGATAAAGGAAAAGTATCCGATTTCTTCTTCTCTGGCTTTGTTAATGTCCTTGGAATGGCAAATGGAGAAGGGGAAAAGTGTAAATTCCATGTGAGCTAATACATGGAACTACAACTGTTTCAAGTTAAAAGTACAGAAATCATCAGAAATTAATAATTGAGAAATATCTCAAACATTTAAATTAACCCACAAATTAAGGTTGAAATGTTTGTAAGATCTAAGAATTATTTAATACATTTTCTAAATATTAAAAAAAAGATCCACTAATATATATGTATTTAGTATTTAATCTGAATGCAATCTTTCTATAATTTATATTTTTCAAAACGTCAAACAATTGTATGTGAGGATGCAAATTAAACATTGTATCAGATTACAAAAAAGGTACATTAATATAATGATTTTGAATCATTAATTCCAGATCAAATTAAATGGTGATATGGTGTCATCAAATTGATGGGCAAGGGAATCAAAATTATATTAAATGTTTTGGGGTCAACATTAAATGTTTTGGCCTGTTAATGATAATGACTGCAATTAAGACACCCGAATATCGTACCGATATATGTATTTAAAGATGGAAATTAACAAACTCTTCTTTAATCGAAATTAAAGCATTCCCCATAATATCAGACGTAAACAACTTGATATTAAGATGCCCCTTGATCACATCCAATTTCCGCATACTACTGAGATTCCCCACAATTTCAATGGCTCCCGGCCAGATTGAATCAATATTTATGCCAGATCTGTTAATATGCAAATGCAATAATTCCAGCCGTATTCCCTTGACATTGTTTCAGCTTATTCCCGACACTTGCAGCAGAATATGCGACCAACCTACGAGTTGGAATCGAAAAATTACTCATTCGCCAACGCGCCGCTCACTTAGCAATTAGTCACCTGAACAATCTGCAAGTACAAGCGGATTATACCGGCTGCCGAATAAATGCATACGGAGATCTCTGCAGTCGCATGCCGTACACTGTAAAAAACTAATTGTCTGTGAATTAATATTTAATTTTAAGCATTAATCTCTTGTCAGTTTTTTAATTAAGGCGAATTTATGAAATATATTTAAAAAACTTTACACTTAAAAAGCTCTAAATACACTGTGCAGCATTTTTAGTGCTTTTTAAATTTACCTCGATGGATGCTATATTTTTGGATTCGTTACGAATTCCCAAGTTAAACTGCGTTTTCCAAAAAGTTCCCCGACGCAAGGATTCTTAGCAAAAGGACCTCAAAGTTCGAAAAATGCTGAAATTGGCCAACTTTGCTGAGCTTTCAGAGGCAAATTGTTGCATGGTTTGATTCGATGTTAAAGTTTTTTAAAAGATACACCCTTTATCTTTTAAACGCCATACTTAAAATAATTTTAGGATTTTTTTAAGGCAGAAACAAATTCTAGAAAACATAGTCAAAAAACATAAAAGTATACAGCTGCGGTCAAAATAGTAGTAGTGTTGCCGCCCTGTGTATTTAAAAGTTTGTTGTTGTAATTGATCTTTTCCTGGTAATATTGTATTGATTATAATTTTACTATTAGACTAATTGGATAAGAAAAAATTACAACATCAAACTTTTAAAAACACAAGGCGGCGACACTGCTACTATTTTGACCGCAGCTGTATGTTTTTCAGTTTTTTGACTATGTTTTTTGGAATTTATTTCTGCCTTAAAAAAAATCCTTAAATTATTTTATGTATGGGGTTTGAAAGATAAAGGGTGTATCTTTAAAAAACTTTAACTTCGAACCAAGCCATGCATCCATTTGCCTCTGAGAGCTCCGCAAAGTTGGCAAATTTCAGCATTTTTCGAACTTTGAGGTCCTTTTGCTAAGAATCCTTGCGTCGGGGAACTCTTTGGAAAACGCAGTTTAACTTGGGAATTCGTAACGAATCCAAAGATATAGCATTCATCGAGGTTAATTTTTGATGCTGCATAGTGATATTCATATAATACTAACATTTTTCACTTTTAATAAAACGATTCGTTTTGACACGAGTCGTAACTAATTTTGCATCATCAAGTTCAAATTCTAAGTTTAAATCAAAGAAAATAATATAATAGCTGTATTTTATTTATTTTAAAAACTCCAATACAACTTTTTGAGTGCCTTTGTATGTAAATACATTTCTTGCATATTTTGCATTTTACATTAATCCGCAACGCTGGCGATTCGATGGGCGTGAGCGGGTGTTGTCATGATATTCCATTTCGCATTTCGCATTTAGCACTTCACATTTAACATTTCGCATTTTGCATTTGCATGGCGCACACGCCTTGGCCTGAAAATGCGGAATGGAGGCAACGATCTTTACTGTTTTCGTCGGATTCTTCGCTTTCCCAGATCCCCGATCGCCCTGCACCTCCCCCAATTAATATGCGTGTGATCGATCGGTGCTGCAGTTTTTGTGAATTTGGCGAATACGGGAATTTTTGCACGTGATGCACTCGCCAAAAATTCCATCTGCTCACTTACGCTGAAAATTTACGACCTGTTGTTTTTGACGTTGATCTATGCTTTTTGGTTCCAATCAAAAAGCTTTTTGGGAGAGAGCTTGCGGGGAAGATTGTAAAGATATTGAAAGACTGCTCTGCTGGGCGAGAGAAGACTCGAAGAGAGAGGACTGAAAGAGCGACGACTGGTAGAAAAGAAGCCGGCTACCGGCTAAAGATCAACAAGAAAAAAGATTTAATGCATGGCTGCGAAGAATGCGGGCCAGAAGAGAGCGAGAGCTTTTTCTACGGATCGGGCCATTTGGAGCTCTCTGCGACCTCCATTCTCTCCCCCAAACCCAAGACCCCACTCTCTTACTCTCCCAGCGAGCAAGGCTATAAAACAGCGGGGAACGAGCTTAAAAATTCAGTTAATTTTCAGCAGTGATCGCGTGAGCTTCGTAGGCCACAAAAAAAAAACAAGATTTATGCACCCACAATTAATTTTCGTTTGGTGAACAGTGAACAGAAACCATGTTATAAGAAAAAAACAAAAGCCAACCAAGCCCAAGAAAACCAAAAAAAAATATAAATACAAAAAAGTGTAGTGCAAAAAGAGCAAATCATGTGAACAACCACAATTTATGCTCGAGTGACAAGAAAAACAACACGAATTTTTACGTGGCAGGTGTGTAGAAGCGCATTCCACAGATTGTACATAATCTATATACTATATGGGCACCGGGGAATCTGCGACTAAGTCATTTCATCGTTCCCCTTTTTCCGTTCGCACTACCCTCATTCTTTTTTTTTCGCCGATTATATAAGCCAGCATAAAAGTAGAAGGGTAATGACGGTAGCGTTGTTGGCCCATACAAACACCCAATATGGCTATACAAACAAACACCGACACGCACATTGAGACACACGTTGAGCGTACATAGATAAGATAGCATAGCTAATAATATAACCAGGGGAAAACTGTACAATAACGTCATTTATAAAATATTTATGGATTTGCCGTACGATTTTTTGTAGATTTTTTTTCATTTGGGTTTCTTGGTTTTTGGTTTTTGCGCTTCCTAAGCGATTTCCAGATGCTGCCTTAGGGTATATTTAAACATTATTCGCAGGCATTTGCTAAATAATAAACAAATTATAAATAGGTAACTTAATAAAAAGCCCGATAGCGAAAACAGATGAAAACGGCAAACGCCAGATGAGAATTCACAGGGACAAATAGTCAGCGCGACTGACAGATCGTCAAATGCTGAAAGCTTTTCGTACTACTCTATGCTCGATGTATTGTATCTTTGTATCTCGGCATCGTTTATCATGTATCTCACTCCCACTCGCTGGCTGTCATTTGGCTAGCCTGCCTGTGTCGCGTTTTTATTTGTATTTTTTTTTCTTCGATTTTTTTTTTTAATTTTTTGTTTACACTAAGAAATCAAGGTTAAAAGCGCAAAGCGGCGTGCGTAAGTGGACAGAAATTAGGCAGAGGTGGTTGGGAATTTATCGCAATGATCGAGCAATTTGATTTCATTAGCCCAACCATGCGATACTATATAATTCACCCCTCCCCTGCGACACGCACAGTCCATTAAAGACTTATTTAAGCTTGGCACAACGCTGCCCAACTACTCGCAGAGCAGAAAAAAAATAAAAAATAAAGAAGCGGGGCAAGCTTTAAAGAGCCGAAAGCGAAAAAGCAACGCCGAGTGTACGAAAACCAGAGCAAATAAATAAAAGCCGGAGGGGAAGTGCTTACGTGACGGAGTCGAAGTTTCAATGCCCTAGGGAAAATGGGTTAAGATGTGTTCGACATGAGTTATTGCCGAATATTTCCGATTTTCCAGCCATTCAAAAAAGGGGTTTTATTTTAACAAAATATTTTTGGCAAAACTCTACTGCAGCTTTATCTCTCTTGCTTATATACACTCAAAAAATTATTTTTTCTTAAATATAGAAAAAAAAAATTTTTCTGTGCTTCAAAAAAATATTCTAAAAAGAGGAAAAAGTTTCTAATCTTCAGAAAAATTTTCTAATCTTCAAAAAAATTCTGAATTGAACGAGTTTTTTTAGAAAATATTTTCTGAAATACAGAAAAATCAATTTTTTTCTAAATTATAAGGTTTATTTTTCTAATCATCCTTTCTTTTTTTGAGGGTTAAAATCGCCATTGATTTTAGAAAAAAAAAGACTGAACTTTTCTAAAACTAAAAAAAAATTGCCATTAAAATTATAAATATTTCTACATAATAGAAATATTGTTTTTCTAATAACAGAAAAATTTTTTGAAGATTTTTCTAACATTTTGAAAAAAATGTGTGATATTAAGAAATATTTTTCTAGAAAATAAAAAATTTAACCGTATTTGATCGATTTCCTTTCTTATAGACTTTTTAGAAAAGTTTTTTTAGCCTAAGAAAAAATCGCTATTAATCGAAGAAAATTTCCGGGATTGGTAGCCTAGGGGTCTAACGCGTGCGTGCATGCATATGTTATTCAAGCTTGCGGCTGCAAGAGTGAGTTCAAACCCACGTCGAGACGAAAAACTCGTGGTGTCTTTTTGTTTTTTTTTTAACACTAATAGTTACATATTAATAAAAAAAATGTATTGCATTTTGTTTAAGTTTTTCAAATTTGAAACATTCAATTACTGTTACTATTGAACCATAATAAATAATAAATATATAAATATTAATATTAATCAATAAATATTTAAAAGTAAAATTAAATGATAAACTAAAAGGAATAACCAGAAGAAAGCCAGATCAATTTGAGTAAAAATAGGAGAACAAAATGTGAATAGACTTTGTACAGCGCCTCACGTGATGCTTCCGTGGCGTAGCTAGTAGAGTGCTTGACTGCAAACTGTGAGGCGCGAGCGGTTAGCGGTTCGAATCCCGCGTGCGGCGACCAAGATGTTTTTCTCAAAATAGTAAGTTATTGGGTTTTTATATTTATAATTTGTAATTTGTACAGAGTCAAAATCTGCCAAGTGGGCCACCCCTGTTCCGAAGGTCCGATTTTCATCGATCTTTTTTACTTTTCCGGTTCACAACGAAAATATAAGAACTTCATTTGAACGGTTTTGCGAAATTTTGAGTTTTACCGGAGTTATAGGGGTCAAAACATGGCATTTTTGACACTTTTTCGAAAAAGTTGCACTCAGTCAAAAATTCATAACTTCGGAACGGTAAGAGATATCTTTATGATGTTTTCACTAATCGCTCAAGAATTATTATGGCTTTCCATAAAAAAATTTAAAAAAAATTAAAAATTTTTTTTCTTAAAAATAAATCAACATTTTTTTTTAGTTTTTATTTTTTTCAGTGTTCTTCACCAGCTATAGAGTTTAAAACCATTTGAAAATGAAGTTTGATTCATTACGAAAAGTAAGATAAAAAAAAAAAAGAGGGGCCCGGACAAAGGTTTTTCGCAATATCGATTTTAAGAAGGGCGCACAGCGGATTCCCATACAAAACGACAAGAAGTGCCTCATTGACAGCTGCAGTCGGCTGACGCTACGCGCGCAACGGCATGTGTTGACCAGCCAATTTTCACGAGCAAGCCGTTTTTGTATGGAAAACCGCTGTGCGCCCTTCTTAAAATCGATATTGCGAAAAACCTTTGTCCGGGCCCCTCTTTTTTTTTTTTTTTATCTTTTTCGTAATGAATCAAACTTCATTTTCAAATGGTTTTAAACTCTATAGCTGGTGAAGAACACTGAAAAAATAAAAAAAAACTAAAAAAATGTTGATTTATTTTTAAGAAAAAAAATTTTTAATTTTTTTTAAATTTTTTATGGAAAGCCATAATAATTCTTGAGCGATTAGTGAAAACATCATAAAGATATCTCTTACCGTTCCGAAGTTATGAATTTTTGACTGAGTGCAACTTTTTCGAAAAAGTGTCAAAAATGCCATGTTTTGACCCCTATAACTCCGGTAAAACTCAAAATTTCGCAAAACCGTTCAAATGAAGTTCTTATATTTTCGTTGTGAACCGGAAAAGTAAAAAAGATCGATGAAAATCGGACCTTCGGAACAGGGGTGGCCCACTTGGCAGATTTTGACTCACACTCATTTCAGTTCCAATTTGAAACCACCCATGTGCTCAATTAAAGGAAATTAAAATAAGGTGACAAACAAGAACGAAAAAAAAAACAACACAAAGGCCGTGGCGTCACAGAAACAACCGGGTATAATTCCGAAGCCCGAAAATAGATTTTTGTATTTTCTGAATTTGAGAAATTTTTTTTTTTTATTTAAAAAATATTTGTCTATATTTAAAAAAAAAACCGTATTTCTATTTTTTAGAAAACCTTTATTTCTAAATTCTAAGAAATAATTTTTTACTTTCTAGCAAAATATTTCTAAATTGCAGTCTATTTTTTTTTGATTTTTAGAAAAAACGTCTTTGATTTTAAAAACCTACTTTTTTTAATATAGACAAAATCGCCAGTAAAGCAAATTCATAGGCGATTTTCTAAAACCAAGGGCGATTTCAGTCGATTTTTTTTTTGGGTGTATAACAAACAAGAACTATAAATATGAATAAATTAGAAATAAATAAATAATAGTCATCTTACTGGATGGAATACAATTTTTCAATGCCTAGTGACTTAGGAAATGTTTAAGAAAATCTGTTTACGATTATGCAAACTTATTTATGTATACAACTGCGATGAAAATAACTCTTCAACAATCATGCTATTCCCCAAAATAAAAAACCTAAGTAGACAAATAAGCAACGCCGCAAAATGGCAAACCAGAGCAAATAAATAAAAGAAAGAAGGGGATTCAACTTTAGAGATGAAGTCGAAGATTTATTGCTCTCGAGAAAATTAATAAAACACATAAGCAGTTACGAACACTAAATTAAACTTTTTTAAATACTTTTCTTAATAACAATATAACATTTAAATCAAAAAATTAAAAGTTCGGTTAAAAATATAAAAGTGTAGAAAAATATTGCTTCCCAAAAACATTATTCTGCTTTTACATATTCATCGTTGGGTCAAAAACTATTACACCCCATCAAATCGCATCAGCAGATCGTTTCAGGCTTGAAACTCTTGAATAACCTCATAAAAGCCCGCTGGCAAACCATTCAGAGTTCAAAGCGATTCCCATTAACAGCTCAGCGAAATGCAAATGAAAGTTCGGCCATCGATTGGCAATGCCAGCCCCTCCGCAACGTCCAATTGCCGCGGAAAACTTTACAGACTCCACCTTGAAAGGGTATTCTGGGCAAAAAGCGAGCGGCATCGAGCAAATTCAGAGGTCAGAGCGAGGCAAAGCGACCAAAAGCATAACAAAACCGTCATGAAACGAGACGAGACGACGACTTCAACCATTCGAACTACACTGCGATGAAATCTGATACCGTCTCTCGCCTCAATAAGAAGCCAACGCGATACATCACAAAAAAACTGTATGCTTCTGTCTCCGCTGAAAAGGTTGAATACAAAATTTGAATATTACTTTGCATACAATTTGTATACAATCTGTAGGGCAAAAATCCTACCATGAACTTCCGAAAATCATATAATTTGTATACGCCAAAGCGAAAATATTACTTTGCACAAACTACACGCGATTTGACACAAAATGTGTGCTAACATTATAATATATCACCGCATTCAACAAGGTGATGTGATATATATATTTCGCTTGACTTTTCCCCATTAATAATCCAGCGACGAGAATAGAACATAAACAAAACAGCCTCAGATCAAGCATTAAATACGAATAATCATAATAATCCCATAATATTTCATTTTAATTTTATAACATCGGGTACGAAGAAAATAACCAAGCCACATTTTATGAGTCCAGAAAAATTCCTACATGTAATTAAGTTCGTTTAATATTTTTCATATGGTCCACAACGGCGTATTCGACTCAAGATGAAACTGTGACGTAAAAACTATAAATTTCTCACTAAATTCCACAGCAAAAGGCAGATTTATTTAGCATAGCGCATAATCATTTGACGTCATCGCTATCAAAAAAATTTACTTGACCATTTACAATCTCACAAGTGCAAACATATATAATGATGGATCTTTAATAGGAAGAAATTTTAATAATATTGGATTATAAGGAAAACTTAATAAGTGGGTGAAATTGACAAGCATATACATAGTTTATTAATTATTAACATAGGGGACCTTTGAATAAAAATTAAAATACAATTTAAAATGTTACAAAGTTACCCATCTTTGAACTATCATAACTTGGATTTGTAAATGATATTAATTGGAAAAAAATATTGAAATTCAATACAATTTAGAACCTATTTTAATTCAATTAAAATTCGATAACTTAGAGAGGGCATATTTTAAAATATTTTCTTTGAGGAAATATTTAAAGCTATTTCATTAAAAGGTTTAGAAAATATTTAATAAGTCGTCGTCGCTGTTCCTTTTTATTTCGAGCTGTGTACTTTTCGCTTAAAGTTTCGCGAGCCGAGTTGCAATGCGCTGAAAAGAGATGACGAGCTTTATGGCAGTAGCGGTGGCTATGGCAACAGAAAGAGCCAAACTGCCCGCACATGAGGTTCGCTCTTGGCCCCGTAAGCCCCCGAAAAACCCTCTCTTAGCCCCATAGTACCCTTTGTAATCGCTTCGCCCTGCAGTCCCCGTCCCCCTTCTTCGAACGTACCTTTCAAGTGCGGGCTGCTGATGTTGCTGCTGTGCCGATGTTGCTGCTGCTGCTGTGCTGCTGTTGTTGCTGCTGCTGCTGCTGCTGTTGCTGGCTCATCAAAAAGCCAAAAGTTGTTGAACGTGAAATTATTGTACGCGAACACGAGCAAATACCAAGGCAGATGTGTGTGTTCGCAAGTATTTATGCACACAGAGCCAGTCGGGTTTTGCATGTGTTGCCTGTGTTGTTGCTCCAAGATAAACAGCTGAAATGAAAAAGAAAAAGCTGAAGCCAAAGCTAAAGCTAAAGCCGAAATGGAAGCATCGCATAGATGCATCAGATTTCGCATTCAAGTGAAATTTATGGCAATAATAAAGCTTAACTTGCGTTCGAGGTAAAAAGATGATGAACTATGCAGAACCGAGTAGAAAAGGAACTGGAAGTTGGCATTCGTCAGCGTTTCATAGATCATTTGCCGTTGCCAACTCACAATCAACTAGCTAACCCACCTCCCACCCACCCCACTTTTCAGACCCCTTGACTTGACTGCGGGAAAAAGTTACTTAGCTGCTATCACCGTTTAGTCATCTACACAAATATGCGATTACCGCACACAGACCGAGATACAGATACATAGACTCGGATACTACAGATATAAGCTCGAAAGAATGCCCGAAGGTAATCGTTCAGTTAGGCGAGTATATATGCAAGCACTGCTCTCCAAAGCAAATAGAAACTCTCAACAGGAAAACACTAAACAATAAACAATAAAATGCTTTCCTATTGATATGTGCTTTTAAGTAGAGGATCTCTTAAACAGTTTTTCATATGATATTAGCTTATAAACTAATTTCTGAAAAACTATAAAAAAAACACGTAATTAGGTATATGTAAATGGTATTGATGATATCATAGTGCTTTTCACTACTCTTTTAATCTAAACCTTTCAATAAATCATTATGAATTTCTAGTTTTAAATGATAACTTACAAAATAATTTTTAAACTTTTAACTGATAAAATATTAAATTTAAAGAGTTGAAGCTCTCAATTTTGATGACAAGATTTCTTAATTTCGGTGCATTGATGACGGGGAAAGTTCTACCCAAAAATGAAAGTCTGGAGGTGAGAGAGCGAAAAACCAAGTGACAACAGGAAGCTGAGATTAAAAGATCCGACAAAAACCGACCCAAATAAGATAAGATCTGTTTGGTGAGGCCAACGAGACGATAATTAAAATTCCTCTAGATACAAACAATATCTGGGCTGATTGTTGTCAGGCCAACTTCTCGGAATATCCCATTCATTTTGCTGGCCATTTATATCCAATTTTCGGACTACTTGTTCGCTCGATTTTCCTTTTATAAACCATTTTTTTGTTTTGGGGTTCATTAATCCGAAATTGTTTATGGCTCCGGTTAGCCAAATAGACGTGGGGAACTCTCTTCGAAGCGTCAGCTCACTCTATAGGTTAGTGAACCTGCAATACTCGTACTCTCGTTCGTATGTGGCTCGTCCAAAGCAAACAAATTCCCAGAAATTTCTATGGTCGCAAACACTCTGTTTTCACATGTATATCGCAGTTGGATGTGTAATCACGAGCGGACTTGTAGGCGAACTCAGAGTCGAGAGATATGTAAGCATGCAACAGGAATCCGGCAGCTCGGGTTTATCGGCTAAGTGAAAAACAACACTCCGCAATTAAAGCGTTTTTCCCCCGAATTTTGTCTACCTGGTCTGAGTAATGCAAATTGTGCAGCAGATAAGATAAGGCCCAAATGCTCCCCTTTTGGCACAGACCAACGAGACAAGATGCCATTGCCACCCGCCTGAAATTTGATGAAAGGACATTCAGTTTTCCCCCAGAAATTAAACGGAGCTTTGGTGAATGAAGCTCTGAGCTGGTATCTTTTAAATCTCCTGCCTCGTTTAAAGGAGAGTGGATGGATACGCTTAGGTTTTGATTGAATGCATATGAAAAGCAAATCATCGTCCGACATTCAATGCCAATAGAGCACTGAAATAAATTAGTAGGAAATATTTGTGTTCTATTTTCAAGCTTATAGTGGCAAATATAACTAAATCTATAATTAGGAAATGCATTAAAAGACGAAAAAAGCGAGTAATGATATAAAAACTTAGTTTTCTTGTTACTTAAAAGATTAAATAAACTTCTTTTTACCACTTTTCGATTGATATATCAAAAATGTGAAAAATTCTTTAAGATAATATAAATGTTGTATTTTATTTAATATTTTGATAATTTTTTATTTCAACTTTTAGACTATTAGTTCAAATTTTTTTAGATAAACCCATAATTCCACACTTAGTTGTTGTATTTTAGTTGATACAATTTTTCGCCCAGTGAGCACACGCAAAATTTGTTCGATTCGGACACGGACGTGGATATGGACAGGTCTTTTATGGTACCTGGGACAGGGCAGCCCCCACTTTCCCCCTCTATCGACAATGTGTGGGCTGTGTGTGTACCTTTATCAGTGCCTTTTCAGTGCCGGGTCCATTCAGCAAAGCCAGAAAACATGCACAAACATTTTTCAGTTGCGTTGCCGGGGAAATGGTGACCCCGACCCTCGCTGATACCCCCGTACCCGTACCCGTCCGTAAAAATGAGAGACTGGCACTTGGTCATTAAAACTACTCGCAGAGCCGAAAAAAGGTTGCTATTTTTAGCAGTGACGAACCGGCAAACCAAAGCAAACCAAACCGATCCGAGAACCCGAAAGAATGAGAGGGGCCTATCGCATGTGGAGGCACCTTCTTATTAACGCTTCGAGTGTTTACTGCCTTTTTGCTCTGCTTTTTCTCCTTGGCGAATGCAATCAAATTAGAATTCGCATTTCATCAGATGTGAAGAATAACAAATGAATTTTGTAGATCACGGTGAGAAATTGGTTGTGAAATGGGAACGCGATTTATTATAATACTCGCGCTCAATAAAATTCTAAGTAAATACATTTAATAGACTAATCAAATATTTTAAAAAGTCAAGGTATTCTTTGATATTGTTTTGGAGTAAATTATTTAATTAAATTATTATGTTGGGGTTTACATTTCTCTTTATTTCTTAATTTATGCTTAAAAGAGTTAAATAAATGTTTGATATTATACCATCACCTAAAAACAAACATATTTTAAATATATTTGATGAAAAGACTGCGTTCTTATATTTTCCCTAAAATTGTAAATTATTACTATCACTCAAAACTGAACTTTTAAATTTTAATAAATATATTTCTGGAACTGAGTTCTTATATTTTTCCGTGTTCTCTTTGCAGTTTATTTCGCCGAGAAGATGCCAATTGATTTTGATTTTCGCAAATTATAACGAGACATTTATATGATTTGATAGCTGGCCAGAAATTCGCAAACAATTCCCAGCGGCCAGGCAAGGTCATATCGATTGTCATCAGCTGCTGTCGGCACACCACCCACCTCCCAGCCACCCAACGCCCCACTGAAAGGCAAACAGAGCGAATATGCCAAGCTTGCACAAGACAAGAAGGTGCTTGCACCAGATGCTGATAATATATGGACTAATATTTGTTTCCAGTGCAACGACACGTAAGTAAAGTCTTCTGCATGCAAAAATATATACATGTATAGATATAAAGTATGTATATATTTATCCAATCTTAAGAAAAGGGAAACATTTAATTTGCATTTATTTATTTCCATTGTCTGGGGATTTGGACGGCTATTGGTTTAGGACTTTATCAAATTGTATCAGTATCATCAGGTAGTCAAGCATCGCACCTACGATGCAGAAAAGCAAAACATTGTTCAGCTTAAACAGTCCACAGGCGCTGACGGTAAATATATACTCCACATTCTTCAAATACAGGCCGTAGTAGTGCATCTGATGGAGAGATAAAGTAGTACAAATGATATTCGTGTTAAGGGTAAAGATGAATATATGATTTGCACAAAAGGATTCATTTTGTTTATGAAAGTCCAGCTAAATATATTTTTCTAGTGTTCAAGTGTCTTTAATTTCTGTATTCTGAATCTGATTTTATTTAGTTGGGTTTTTCGAAAGCCCTTTAAGATTGTTAATAATACTTCATGAATATGGAGGTAATCAAAACCCTTATTAATAAAGGCGGTTTCCTTTGATAAATATTTTTTATAATTATGTTTCTTCCAATCAAAGTCAGAAATTTATTATAATTCCAATCACTGTTGGTCACTATTTTATGATGTGCGATTTACAGTCGGCACCTGCTGAATACAAATGGCGGTTATTATTTCAATTTCATTTTTCTTTCAATCAACTCATAAGCTTAATGAAGCCTTTGATTTTATTTCGTCTTTTTAAATGCATATATTTATTTTTTAAGGGCTGACTTTCTTATAAACTTTTCCCCATTTTAAAAACTTACTGTATGTGTGAGTTGCTTCACAGTTATTCTGGCCGGAAAGGTTAGACCCTCGCTTCTTAGGGCATCTCTGGTACGGTTAAATCTTCTTTCCGAGTAGTAAGTGGGTAGAATTACCAGCAGAAGATTGGTGAAGAGTCCCAGCATAAAGGCAATAGCAAAGTAGTTCAATGGAAAGGGTTTGCCAAACTTCCGCAAGATGAACTTGCTGTACTTCATGAAATAGGTGAAAAACAGGTGAATCATGCACTCCATGGGCACATATCCCACAAAGCAGACGGCCTGAACGCCGTGCAGAGAGCAGATGGATCGATGGAGCTTCAGTAATTGCTGATGCACCTGCAGTAATCTCCATAATTCGAGGGCCAACCACTTTTGTTGTTTTCCATACAGCTGCTGGCGGTTCGGCCAAAATCCTGACATAAGGGAATTTTCCAGAATTTTCCCTGCATCCGCGAGAATCCGTGACAGTAGGAGATTCGAGTGTAGAACGAGGTGGCCCAGAAAAAGTAAAGCCAACGTGTATATCCCCAGGGAAAGCTGCAGGATGAGTTGGCACATGTAGACGAAGGCCAGACAGCAGGCGTACACAAAGTTCCTTCGCACCTCGGGATCGTCCTTTAGCACCTGAATGGGCTGGGCCGACGAGAGGATGAAGGAAACGAGTAGCACCAGCACCTCCAGCAGGTGTCCCCTGGTGGCCAGACAGTCCAGCGAATCCCTGAGCTCCCGCGTGTACATCAGTTTTCTTAACTGCCTGCGACACCTGAGCAATCGATTCAGACATCCAATGATCTCCGCCTGCTTCGAGCAGTGTATCCACAGGGTGGCAAAGGCCCAGACGAGCAGCAGCACATATCGATTGAAGCCAATCAGTATCAGGATTTGATTTTGTCGCAGAAAGACCATCCGTTGGTAAATGCACCAGAAGGCGTAGGGCGAGAAACAGCCCACAAAGATCATCATCACCCAGCCGTGGATGCGAAGGTAGAGGCTCTGTCTGACCCTCTCGATGCCCCGGGGACTCGAGTTGGCGGTGGCCAACAGGCCAAACACCCTGGTCAGACTGTACAGTAGGCACAGGGCCGACATGCCCAGCAGTTGCAGCCAGCGCGGCATCGATGTGATTTGGATGGAAACGAAACTGCTAGTGGGTCAGCCAGAGGCAGTGACATAATCGAATCACAGCCACAGGCAGCACTCAAGGCAGGACACTAAGAGAAAAAGGGGTCTTACATTTGCCAGAAAACAGAAAAACAAAATGGAAGACCTCATTTGGAAATCAAGTTTATTTGGTAAATTTTACTACATCTGCAGTTAAGTTATGTCGTTTAGTAAATAGTTTTCTATTTAAAATGATTAATATGAATATTATTTTTAAAAATCTTTAATTTACTGAATACATTTTTATATTTTTTGATCAAAAAATAACTTACAAAATTATTCATATTAAAGGTATTTTTTACTTCTTACTATATTTGCAGATAGTATCTGTCATTAAATATAAACTTTTTTATTTAAAATCATAAGTATAATACAAAAATCCTGAGCAAATGAAATTAATTATTCTATTTTTTTATGAACTAATTACTAAACTTACGGATCATTATTATATATCATCAGTTTATAGCATCAGAATTCATATTTTCACTAGCAAGTTAATTTTTGTTTGTGAGGAATGTTCTTGCCTAAAACGAAACACAACAGATTACTTAAAATTCCAAGAAAATGCTAACCGACCCGTAAGCTTTGTGTTGGGCGGAATTGCCATTCAGAAACGATTTCCATTCATGAAAAATATTTTCCGAGTGTGGTTACGCCGGCTATTAGCCTGATTGAATTTCGTTTAGCCAAGGCGTTCACTCAGCCAGATAATCTGGCCAGATAACACACTCACTGAGCAGCCCAAAAGTGCCACAACAAAAGGGTTTCGCCGATGGATAGATGGATGAATGTATGGCTGGATGGATGGATGGATGGAAGGCTGATTGGCTAACAAGACAGGGGAAAATCACATTGGCCGAGATACTCGGATGGAAATTAGGTAAAATCGGAGAGCTTATGCTCTGTGGCTTACTTTCCATCCATCGGATTCCGAATGTATCTCACAGATGCCTGGCCCCGAAATCACTCAATTTGCAAGTGGCTTCAGGTGTTTGCATCACCCAAATCCCGGTTCTCACCTGTGAATGGGATTGCGCTGGGGATTGAGCTAAACTGGATTTCCAATCAGTGGCGAACGTAGATAAAACTAACAATTTAAATTCCTGAAACAGTTTGGCCCACTCGACTGAAGAGATTCCGTGTTCTTGGTATCTTCGCTTTTGTATCTGTATCTGCGGGCCACAAAAGTCAGGACGTTGTCGCTGGATTATTAAAAAAGTTTTCGCTTTTAAAGAGCTTTTTTTGTTTTTTCCCCCTCTTGTCATTTTTTTCTTATTTTTTCCATTCATGCTACATAAAATGCAAAACGCTCGAGTGTTTATATGAGTGTGTGTGCGAGTTCGTACTTTCATCCTTTATGAAAACTTTCCACGGCTGTTTATAAGTTTCTCACCGAAGAGCCAAAGTGGCAGCAAAAGTGGGGGAAAAATCTAAAAAAAAAAAAAAATAGCCAACCATGTATCTACAAGTCTGTGTATGCGCTTTTGTCCTCCTCCTCGGATCTTGTATCTCGGTTCTTGTACGGCAGCCCCCTGGTTTCAGATATTCTATAGCTTCTGGTTCTGTCGCCCGACTCCGACTTTATCTGAATAGGCAGCCAAGTGTGCGGTTCGGTTTTTATCTAGGTTAGGTGGCTGGCTAGCAGTGCTGCCATCGCTTAGCTTGAAAAACAGGACAGATAAGCCACAAAAAACAGGGAAAAAAAGGACAAAAAATTTAAAAAAAGGACAAAAAAAAGGACAAAAGTAAATGCGCCTCCATTTTTCTGTTTTTACCAATGGGTTATATATTTACTTAGTATAAATGGATTTTAAATAAAATTCAATTATGTAATGATCTACTGCTCCCGACTCACAACCTTCTTTGTTTGATTATTTTACCATGGTAAATTTTTGTGCGTATACGTAATAATCTAAAATTATTAAAATAATAAAAGCATTTCAAGTAACTATATTGGTAGTACAAAAAAATTTAATCTGCGTCAAACCCGAATAAGAGTCGTTGAAATTTTTTTCTGACAAAAAAGCAGAGAGTAAAAATTGAGAAATTTTTAAAGTGTTTTCCTCTTTTTTTTGCTACAGAAAAAATCGTACCATAAAGAAAATCCATCGACTGCTTTACGTCTCTTTAATAATTTGTAAAAAAAATTATTTTTTAAGAGCAGAACTATAAAAATGATGGTTAGAAAGGCAGAAAAACAGGTTTATACACTTTCGACTAGCAAAAATAACACTCAAAACCTTATTTTTGAAAAAAGGACAGATTTCCGGATAGGGGATGTTTGAAATTTTTTCCGGATAAAGCCGTTAAAAAAAGGACAGATCTGTCCGGAAAAAGGACAAAATGGCAGCACTGCTGGCTAGTCTGACGGTTGCTCCGCAGCTCGCTGCAAATTGCAATGAAATATCCTCGTCTGACGGCTAATTCGTTTACATTTTTTCGGTTACTCTACAGCAGAAAGGTTGTATTTTTTCGCTCGGGCAGTTTGAAAGTCGGTTTTCATCTAACAATATTATTTATTTTCTATAATTGATCGTAGAAAATTTTGAATATTAATTTATAACTAAAAAAAATGCTGGTAAAGGCGAAAAAAGGGAAATTTGATATATTTGATATTTTTTGCTATATGATTTTATTAATTCCAGTTTCGAAAGTAGAAGTAAAAGTCTTCTAAGGAGTTTTTTTCTCAACAATCCTATTCATCAGGTCTAAAATTTATTTTCTATCTGTAAAATTAAAAAAATAAAATTTGTTGTCTATAAAAATCATTAACAATTTCTAACCTTTGCTTTGAGGTTTTTTTTTTTAATTATTTATATTTTTGAATAACTAGTAGTAAAACTTTAAACAAGATGTTAGAATGACATTAAAATATAATTCATCCTAATTTGGAAATAAAAACGGAAATAATTATTAGGTAACCCAAAAAAGAGCATTCAACTTCCAGCTAATTCCGATTATTTACACATTTCTGTACCGAAATCAAGTTGAGCAGCATTTAAATTGTTTATATATTTTTTGGACATGCCTCGTTTAAATCTAACCTCCCGCCGCCAAACTTCAAAGTCGAACTGCGGATACGAGGGCGGCTGACAACTGTCCCAGCTGTCCCACTGATAACACGACAGCGTCAGCGAGCAAATGCGAAAAACAACGAACAAGTAAAACTTTAATTAAATAAAGTGTAAGAAGTTTGTTGAGCTCCTTCAAAGCAGCCGCCAAACCCACCGACCCGCCGAAAATCCACCGACCCACCAAACAATCTCCAGTCGAGTCCCCACACAAAAACATTCTGCTGCTCCCCCGACATCAAAGTGCACAGGCCCAAAGAAAACCGAAAAAGTTTAGTTTTTAATATTCGACAGGCTGCGGAGGTTCTTATGCTTAAATCAAGTAGATTTTTCCAGCCAGATATTTACTTTTGTCCCCGGCCAGAACTTGATTGTTTACCCGGAAAAAGGAAAAACCGAGGGCCGAAAAGTCAAAGGGCATGGAACACAGAAGCACAGAAAGAGAGGAAAATTCCCATTATATGGACGAGTGAAAATGACAAATTAACTTGAACAATGAGAAGCGTATACGTTTCGAAGAAAGGCGAAAACTCCATAAAAAGGAACCCGCGCCAAAGCCAAAAAAGGAAAGGAAAACGAGAAAAGTGCCAGAATAAATTTAGTCTCAGGTATAGAATATATAAAATTAATGGAAGGCAAACACACAGTCGACAATCAATAGCAAGTGGGGCCAAACTTTAATTGGTTTAATTTTATTCCATTACTTCTCCACTCGACGGGGTCCCCACTGTTCCACAGGCTAATGAATCACTTACCTAGATAAGCAACGGACATTCGATCCGATAAGTTGACCTTAATGCATTCAGTTGTGTTCTGCTGACCCTGTAAATTAAAGGGGGTATAATTAAAGCAAAGATACGGGCGAACTTGTGAAAAATATGCTGCGAGGTGAGAGGATAATAAATTAAGTGCAGATTGCATTTTTTAAGATAAAAGTTTCATAAAAGATCAAACAAGAAAAATATAGGAACTTGGGAGAAGGAATGTAAGTCCTTTTTGGCAATTCTAATGTTATTAGATAATAATAAAATACATTTCGTTTACATGTATAGTAACACTTTTGCTATTAAATAGAACTAAATATATTTAGTATAATTAAAAAGATGTAATATAATTTTCGCCATTATAATGTTTTTTTAATATTTAATACAATTGATAGTAATATATTTGGATACACTTAAATTAAATACATAAATATTAAATATTTGATATAAATAAAATTTGATATGTTTAAAAATATGTATTCGCCTACTTAAGGATTTTAAGTGATTTATGAAATACAGAGTAATACATTTAAATATATTTCAAAAAAAATTTTAATAAAAACAAATATTTAATATCAAGTATACGACTTAAACTTCTTCATTTGATATTTCTCCCCTTTAAGATTTATGGTTTTCTCGAACTTTAAAAGCCCGCTTACCACCCCCAACATCATTGTTATTTTCTAGTCGTAGAAACTTAAATCCCGCACTTTGCCATAAATAAGGCAGCACTACTTTTGAGGTGACCTCCATTAGCCCACATTTCTCCCCCTCCCACTTAAGTACACCTAAGCTGCACAACTGAGACCCTCATGTTTTATTGACCACCACTAACGGCTGAAATTTCCCCACCATAATTTCGTTACAGTTGACCAGGAGCCGTTGCCTTTGCCGGATTTGTGTGAGTCGATTAAATGCCCGCCGGATGGCGAAATGCAATGCCCGGCGGACAGTTCTATACGCCAGAATCTGCTTGCGGTGGACCTGATTAAGTCGAATGCGGTGGAGCTGCCAGGTGATATTTCGTCGGGGGACTCTTCGTTATCCTCGGCATCCTACAATAGCAGTCTGATCTCCGAAGAGGATTATGTGCGGTGCTGTGTGAACCGGAAGTGCGTGTGCAAGACCTGCTACATTCCGGACTGCGACACGGATGCCGATGAGCTGGTGGTGGTGGAGCTGGTGGCGGAGAAGATTCAGACGCCGGGCGAATGTTGCGGCACCTACGACTGCCGCACGGAGCCCAATTGCACGGTGGTGCGGAACACCGAGTACCATTGGCTGAAGCAGTGCCAGCGTTGCAAGTGCGAGTCGGGACTGAAGATCTGCCACAAGGACTGCGACGACAGGGCCGAGGGTGTTTGCCAGTCGAAGATTTCGGGGATGTTCTACAAGGACGGCGAGACGTGGACGGAAAACTGCAAGACGTGCGAGTGCGAGAAGGGGGAGCCCAAGTGCACGATGTCCTTCTGCGGCAACCTCAACTGCCCCAGCGAGCGACAGGTGATGCTGAAGGACACCTGTTGTCCCGTCTGCTGGCCTAAGTGTGCACCCATGCCGCACGAGACCTACGGGGATTATGTGGATGAGTCCGAGGCACCAGAAACAGAAACGGAACCTGAAACAGAGGAAGATCCTTTGCCACCACTGTTGCCTGATCCACTGACCACACAGCAAAGTGCCGAGTTGATAGCCACTAGCACCACCACAACCACCGCTGCACCACCACTAACCGCCATTACCAACATTTGCAACAATGCCTTCGACCAACCGAATGTCGTGGAGGTGCTCAATCCCACCAACTACTTCTCCTGGCTGCTGGCCTACGCGGTTCTGGCCTCCATTATTATCGTGGTCATGGGCTTCTATATTTACCTGCAGCGGGCCAAGAAACGTTCCTACGATCCGGTCTCCATTCTGGACCACAGCATCTAAGCAAGAGATCTTTCGAAATACTACTAAGAACACAGCTAAAAAAAAAGAAAAGTAATTTAGATCTAAGTATTCCGTTCCGCCGTTTTCCAACCTACAATGTGGTTTGCTTTTCGAGTGTGGCCAGATTTTTGAACTAAAGGGCTATCGATGCGTGAAAGCCAGGCCTGGTCACTCTAAAACTAATCAGTTTATTCGCTTAGATAGGAATACCAAATACCTTAGCCTTTCTAATGCCTTTGCCTTTGTTTGTTTGGTATTGATCTCATTTTAACTTTTCACTTTTCACTTGCAACACAAAAAAACAAAAAAAACGAATGAAAATCACACGAAAATATAAGCAACGAACTTCCGCAGCAACAAAATAAAAGTATTCTTATGAAATTACGCAAAAATATTTAATTACAAACGAAACAAGAGTTACTATTACTAAACAAACGCAAATGATGTATGTACATACTTAACACTTTCCCCTTCCACGGGAAGTCCAATTTTTTTAAACTTAAACCTTGATTTAAGAGAAATATAATACCAAATCATATTTAGGAGCGAGTAAGAAAACGAAACCACTCGAGACACGTCTTAGTTTTTAGTTTTAGCTGCTAGTTTAGGAAGTATGTGATATATATGCTAATTAGCCTATGTAATTTGTCAACCCAGGCACGCTGCTGTTTAAATAAAAATATGGAAAACAGTATTTGCAACACAAGACCCGAAAGCATCGCAATCGCAGACGGAGGTTCAACTTTAGCTAATGTCATAACGTTGCCACATAAATGTATACTATAAAATCTTTATTTAAATTTATGTTTAAAAATAAACCGAAATTGGTATGCAAAGCGATGAAACCAATTAAATTGAATGTTGTTCATTATGATTGGGATCACAATTAATGGGGGTATATTATGGTATAGAATAATAATGTTTTTCCCACCTTAAAGTGTTGAAAATATTAGAATTAATTGTTTAGTTGTCAACGTATCAGCTCGTAAAAATACCTTGCTTGTAAACGGTACTCAAAACCATGGCGTGAAAGTTTTGTACACATTTTAAATTTGACCTTCGGTGCCGAAGGAAGACAGAGTGGGAAAAGGTCGGTCCTTGGCAAATTGTATGCTAAGCATAATGTCAGGCCATGATATGATTTATAATACGTAATAAGTTCCAGCGCAACTTGAAGTGGGTAACACATAAAATACATAAAGGAATGGGCCCAGAGAGGGGGTAAATCTTTGGAGACCCTGGAAAAAATACGAATATGCATGGGAATTGGGTCTTTGGCGGCGCCTTGTTGAGCCTTCCCGTTTGCCATTCACGTTACGTGGGCGACCCACTTCGCACAAATGGGAGCCCCACAATGTCATACATTTTGTTTAGATTGTTATCAAATGCTAAAATACCATGAATAAGGTATATAAGCAAGAAATACAGTCGGAGAAAAAGTTATATTTATTGGAATACAATATAACTGCTTGAAATAATATTTATTTTATTATTTAATACAATATTATTTATTTTAAAAAATTTTAAAAATTGTATCCCTATGAAAATATTCTAAGGATATAAAAGTTAATTGATTTTTTCAAGTATCATTAATTTTCCCAGTGCACCAACGTATATGTTTGGGCATTCTATATGAGTACGTAGTTGAGTGGGTGGCGTAGTGATTTACACAGCCATACACCTAATAAAAATGCCACTCGAAGAGGCATAGTGGGGTATTGCATATTGCTTCGATTCATCTGAAAGCACGACAAAATAATGACGCCTATGGAAACACGTGTAACCCCCAACAACAACAACAACCACTGCAATCGTCAAACGTTTTGTAAGGATAACCAGCGGGGCAAAGGGCATTAAGAATCGGAAGGTCGGGGGAAAAATATAACAAAGGCCCAACACAATAGACTTCAAGAGTTTGGATGACACTTTGAGTTATTTTGTTGTTGATGCTGTAAAAACACGAAAGCAAGACCCAGCGAGAGATATGGGATGGTAGATTTATTGAGGCTCGGCAGGAACAGCGGCAAAGCAAAAAGCATCTGGGATCTGAGGAGCCTTCGATAAGCGGAAGGACCAGCGCCCACTACACAGATTTGCTTTTGAGCCACACACAAAAAAAAAGCGAAGAACGAAGAAATATAGAAAGTATAAAGTGGGTGAAAAAAGTATACTGTTGAAATTTATATCTCGGCAGCGCCATTCAACAGAGCAATAATCGAGGAGCAGAGCAGAGCTGTGTTAACCCACCGAGAACCTGGGAAAAGAAGAGGATATGTTTACACAATTTAATAGGTTTTCTACCAAGCAAACAATTTGTTTTCCAAAAATGCAAGCTCATGTTCTCTCAATGGCTTTAAAACATAAAAAAAAATTTAAATAGGATTGAAAAATGTATTTCCAGTAATCCGATTAACAAGTGCATTATTATAACATTAAAACAAATAATTTAATATTTAATTAAAATATTTAAAACCTCCAATACTAGCTACAAATTAGAAACAAATCGTTTGATGATAAACCTTGATCATTTTCATTTAGCCTAATTTAATTTTAACCAGAACTGGACAATATCTCGCCCACTAGTAATCAATCGGTTAAGATGAGGAGGATAGACAGTGAAAAGCATCGGAGCAATCAAATCCATGTCTCGTGAAGTGAATGGCCATTGGCAAACGTTGCACAAAAAATACACAAAACCGAAGTAGAATAGAGAGAGAGGAAAAACGAAAGGAGATTGGAAAGTGCAGACAACAAAGCCAGGCAACAGGAGAAAAAGTTGAAAGAAAATGGGAAAATATTTTCAGCAGTCAAAGGGCAATGGAAAAACTATCAAGAGAAACAAGCGATATCGAGCAAACAATAAAAAGTGCTATTGTTTCCTCGAACGTTTTAATTGATCCTTAACAAACTGAAAATAATAAAGGTAAACGTGAATTGAAGCTATCGAGGGCAATAAGAGTTCATCGAATGAAAATTATTATGGGTAATTATTTAGTAATAAAAATTAATAATCAAACTAGCTAAAAAAACTAATCAACTACATTTTTCAAAATTGGTTTATGTGGTATCACAATTTAAATACATCTTAAATCCCCTGACCAAAAACAGGCGTCACTTCAAAATAATCCCCAAAATACCGTCCGTTTGCAAATATTGCCGAAAATCGACTGAACATTAAAGTGAACCGTTCTGCATTCCGAACAGGAAACGGAAAGCACTCGATTTGAATCCATGTTTAATGGAAGTGCCATCAATCCAGATCAAAACTGGCCGTCATTAGAGAGAGACACACAGAAAAATGGAGATAGAGATGGGTATAGAGAGCAGCAGGACTTGTCACATGCCATAAATGCAAATGATTTATCGAAAAAGGCAACCGAAAGCCAATAAAATCATCAAAGACGCCTTACCGTTGATAGCCGCAAATGAGTCTGGGGCAGGAATCTATTTCAATGCATATATATAGATGTACTTACTTAGTGGCGGATGTTTCGGAAACCTCAATCCATATATCAAAAGCACATTAGCCCGAATTTGAATTGCCAATTGGTATTTACATGGCGAGCTGTACATACAGATGACAAAACCCCAAGCACATGTCAAAATTAAATAATGTACCGCACGATTGCTGACTCGTCCTGCATTTTGTATGGCCTTCCGCCCGATTTTCCACCCACTTTTCCAACCCAACCCCCCACACTTGTAGACACGGCATTGGCATTGGCTTTTATTTGAATTCGGTGCGTGCGGCTGTCACTTGTCTGTTGTCTGTTACATTCGCCATGTAAACACAACCGCAGGCAATTTTGGCAATTTGCGTCAACAGGCGAAACACGAAACCAAAACCTCACCCAACAACAATAAAACGAGCTCAACCTATGCAGTGGAAAAAATGTCAAAAAATTATAATTTTTTATTAGATAAAAATAATTGTTGGACCTATCCCTTAAAATATAAAAAAAGTAATGGGATATTTGAAACTTTAAATATTAAAGAACACTTTATGTTTTAACTTTCTTCTTTTGATCTACTAAAAACCGACTAAATTAAAGAACAATTTATTTGTATAACTTTAGATTTACTGAAAACTGAGTAAATATATTTTTTTGAATATTTTGTGTTTGTAATATCAGTAAATTAATAACATTTTGGTTTTCCAATTTTATTTTTTTTGGGGATATTTTTTTCCCTGCATCAGCAGACCCCAAAACCCGAAAACAAAACTGGCGGCCAAGAGACAAACGTCTCGCCTTGGCTTAAGCCGAGAGGTAAATATAAGCCATGGGGGCATTTGCCTAGACGGGCCAGATAAAGGGAATTATAATGGGGAAAGGGAAAGAGGAAGGGCAAAAAGCGGGCTATGTAAAGTCGCCTGCACCCATGAAAATTGTTTGCTTTTGTGCCGAACAGCCAGCACACAGCAGGCAAAAAAAAAGAAGAAATAAAACCAAAGTAGAACAAAAGCGAGACAAAAATTACAAAATACTGAAACAAAAACAGGATGGAGAGGCTGGCGAAATAACAGGTGAGTGGAGAAAATACCCTATAGATATTTTTATAAAATATTTTGAGCAAAGAAAATCAGAAAAGCACACAGTGATTCATATATTTTACTTAAGAGTGTGAATTAAATTAAAATGCAGGTTTTTAAAATAATAAAGTTTCTGACAAAAGATTAGAAAATAAAATTATATAATTAATTAATTGAAATGCAGTTGACTTACCTAAGGTTAGAAAATAAAAGTATATAAGCCAAAAGTAACCACTTTTAAAATCAATAAATTAATGTTTTGTACATTTGTAATGTTCATTTAATTTCATTTAATTGAAATGTTGTCATAATGTTGTAAAAATATTTCTCATGTAACATGTTGCACTCGCCTTATTCCCTAAAGCATATTGATCCCACGTCCTGCTTTACAGGGTGCATAAGCGAAAAAAACACAACAAATGGCACAGATACAAAAAATTTGCCATCCCAAACATAAACACTCACACAGTGTCACGTAGACCAACACAGTGACAGGCACGCGGGCACACATATGTACACATATATAGAGACATGCAGTAATTTTATATTATGTACCGACCATATATAAATATTTGTGCAAGGTAA